CTAAATAATTTATATAATAATACTAATTTTAAATAATTTAGTTCCCACGTGGGTCCGCTCAAAACCCAATCACCAAAGAGGAATGGAGACGATGGAAAAAAAATAAAGAAGGCAAAAATTGGAAAGATTTTCTTAACTTGCCGTATGATACATATTGGTCTTATCGAGTAAGTAGTAAATATTTTTATTAATTTTTAATTTTATATTTACATTAGTATTTATTTACTTATTTATTTATTCTTATAAACTTTAATAAATTTGCAGAGAAATCTTCGTGATCGATTAAATGCATGCTGTCAAAAAGGAAAATACGCATCAGAACAAAATCAAGGAATTGTTCAAAAAGTCATTGAGAAAGTAATATTATTATATATTTGTTTATTTTTTTATTTTAAAAAATATTCTAGATTTTTTATAATATTTTGATTATTTAGTTTAAATCGGATTTTCCAACCTTTCCTGTTTCTGTGGGAGATTTTGTTTTGCAAAAGCTCTCAGAGGATATTATAGGAAACTGGGGTAAAAATATCAATTTTTTATTTAACTTATTTAATAAGTAATAATATATATTATTATTAAATATTTTTATAGTAGAAACTATTCGTAAGGTTAAAATAAAGGAGGCACGTGAAAAGGGCATCCCTGCTCCTCCAAAACGCAAAAACATAACACCACCAAAAAATAAGAAGGCATCATTTCCAACAAGAAGTTCTCAAACAGTATTATCTCCTAGTAATACAATTAATACAACCAACAATAATAACTTTCAACAATCTTTATCAGATGAAAATTCATCTTCTACTGAATCTGATGAAAGTAGTTCACCATTAATCAATAAGCAAACTGCATCTATTACTTTACCAAATAGAGAATTTCGGTCTGCACCACCCATGAATGAAAGTGATTATTTGACTGGTAATTATTTTATCATTTTAAAAAATAATAAATTTTATCTATTTATATTTTTAATACTATATAATTTTTTTAATATAATCGTAGATAATGATAATAATAATACTCAATGGTCTTTTAATACAATCAAAGATAGCAATAATAATAATACAATCGAAGGTAGCAATAATAATAATACAATCGAAGATAGCAATAATAATAATACTCAACAATCTTCCGGTGAGAATATAATCGAAGTTGACGATAATAATAATATTCGACAATCTTCTGGTGAGAATATAATCGAAGTTGATGTCGAAGTTGATGATAATAATGATACTCAACAATCTTCGGGTAAAAATTATTAATTTATAGATTGTTTTTTTAAGAAAAAAAATATATATATAAAATTACGAAATATTATTTTTTTTATTTATTAAGGTTCTCAATCAGTATCTAACAATACACTTAATAATCCTATTTCGAAATCTAAAAAAATAATCGGTATATATATATTTATTTAAATAGATATAATTTATAATAATTGTATAATATTTATATAATATAATTAATTTTTTGTATAGGAAAAAAAAGGCCAATTCAATTAACTCGTTCAACTCGTTCAACAACAAAAAAAGGTTCAACTGAAAAAGCTGCAGTGGTATCTAAAAAACAAACAAGCAATAAATCAAAAAAAATAAAATATTAAATATGTAAGTATATATTATTTTTAATTATTAAAATATTATTAATATATACCGATACTAATTTTATATTATAAAATTAATTAAATTATTCAAAACAGGATCAATTATATATGTATTATATATATATATATACTTGGCATAATTAGCGTATATATTTATTTATTTATAAAATAATTTAATTACTAATAATATAATTATAATTTATTTAGAAAATAATCGTGTATAATCCAGTTGTAATCCGATTATTAATAAATATATTCACGTTTTATTCAGAAAATAATCATGATACAATCTAATTACTATCAAGAAATATTCCAGTTTATTATCATGAAGTAATCCGATTATTAATAAATATATTCACGTTTTATTCAGAAAATAATCATGATACAATCAAGAAATATTCCAGTTTATTTATAAATATAATCATGAAGTAATCTGATTATTAATAAATATATTCATGTTTTATTCAGAAAATAATCATGATATAATCCAATTATTATCAGAATATATTCCAGTTTATTTAAAAATATAATCATGAAGTAATCCAATTATTAGTAAGCTATTTTCCTGAACTAATCACAAATAATCGGAATAGTTCTGGAGTATAAAATATATATAACACTCCGGAAAATGCTCATATATTAGGAGTAAAATATGATTATTACCTGATTATTTTCGGAATACTTTCAAAAAACAGGAATATTTCTGGAGTGTAACTTAGTTAATAAACTGGAATATTTTTGGAATATTTCTAACATAATAATTCGGAATATTTTCGGAATATAATTATTATTTTTTTTTTATAGGGACGGGTTTCAACTAATACAGTAATACAGTAATACGTATGCCGCTGTCAGACCCAAAATCGGCGAGTCTGTCGCTTGATCAATAAGAGCGTCGTGTAACAAAGAATTCAGGTTACGTTAGGTCGAAAAAGGCGTGTTAGGTTTGAGCGAGCGGTTATGCAGCGTTTCGGGACAGAACTTGTATTTATATAGTTCCGGTAACGTTCGCAACGAGAGTGTTTTTCAAACGTTAGGTTTGATATATGAGATATGGGTGGATTATTTATTAGAAATACTTGTTTGATTTATTATACGTAATTATGAGATTTATGAAAACTAGTTGTATGATTAATAAAAGCAAAGGCGGGAGTTATTTTCCCAAGGGCCAAAAGGCCATTATTTATATTATACCCTGGTCACTATATCAAGATCGCAGGGCATAAATCAGTTATGTCCTGGGCACTATGTGATAAGCGGGACTTTCAGCCCCGCTTATACCCAACTGCCCAGGAAATAACTATTACATAACCATTCTATCTATAAAAACTACCTATACTGTCAATATTGTCTATAATCCCAAAAATGCCCTTATTGACAGAAACGTCAATAATCCCAAAAATACCCTTATTGACAGAAACACCATTTTCTCAAAAATCGCCGTTTTCGCTATTTCCGTCAATTCTGCTCGAAATGGCCTTTCCAGTTCTGACCGAGAAATCCGAATTTGGAAATAACCGGGTCACGGGCACATACCTGCTTCAGGTCACGTTTCCGGTTTCAAATCATCGATAACACCTTTTAATTTAATAATTAAAATTGAGAGATTTAAATTTGTTTCTTTTTTTGATTGGAATTAATAAATCTTAGATTTTCAACAATTTTTTATATAGCTCTCAGTTGCTTAGCTTATTTTAACCTAAGTTTACTTTTTTTTTACATTATACTTTGACGCTACGTAACAATTTTCTTTTTTATAACTCTCAGCCTTGCTTCGTTCGGACACTTTTCAAGCTCAATCCTGTCTATTGTTTGTATCTGTAATATTATTAATAATTTTTTTTATCCTATATTTCTCGGCCTTATTTCGTTTGACATGCATTTGCGGAAATAACTTATCAATAAATACATACGTATTAGACATGTAATTGTCGAATAAATATCTGTGCACACACGTGATACAATAACATACATATGATAGTTTCGAACAAATAATTATCCAACAAGTGAGTACGTTTTGCGCTTTTTAATTTTAAAATACTACGCAACGTATATTATACCTCATACCATACTACTTCAGGTTAAGTTTCTGATGTTAGTTGATTGATGTCGCTACTCATAATTCTGACTTGGTAACTTTCGATTCGGTTATCAATTGTCCAGGGATTATGTATTTCAAAGTATACTATATAGAATTTTTAGATACCTCATGAAATATTTCATTCCGATTTTGATAATGATATAGGAATACCTGCGATAGGTCTGGATAGTGGTCTAATTACAAAAAAAAATTGAAAAAAATGCTGAATTAAGTCTTTAATTTTATTGTTAAATAGGAATAATAATATAAATTATTTTAAGAAATCAAAATTATATCTCAACAAGTATTTGAAAACTTGAAAAAATGAATGCGTGACCTTATAGTTTTGATAAGGCCTACTAAGTTACGAATTTTTTTTCGAGGGGATACAATTTGAAAACATAACTGAAATTTCCAAAGACTAAAATGAAATCACATGCTTTTCCGACTTTATTTTTATTATTTATAATATATCTAATCATTCGACGTGTAGTGTGGTATTATAAAGGTTTTAAAATAGGCTGGGATGCGCCTACGATTATTGATGACGTCAGGGCTTTTCTAATAGTTGGCAAGGTTAAGTGACGCAGATTTGATAAAATTATATTGATTGCACCTAGAGATGTACCTTGCAAGTGATGATGATTTCATCCTCGCGCAAGTTATTACACCATACCTTGCGCAAGGTAGATCCTTAATTTAAAATATTAATGGAACTAATGAATTCACTAGATTCAAAATTCTGCTTTAGATGACGTTACCTTGCACCTCGCCAAGATCATATGATTTGTAGAATATATGCTAGTTTTGCCTTGCGCAAGGTACATCTCTAATTGCACCATATAATACATATTAGTTTTTGCAAAATTTTGAGTCGATAAAACTGGAGCAAATAAATTGTTGCATGCATATTTTAATTTACAATATATACATTGTATTAATATTAACGTTAATATATGTTTTTGTCAACTTAGTCAACTAATTTGCGCCATGGATGTAACACAGCATAACTTAGAAATTTCTTAAGAATTTGAAATAGAATTTAGCTTTTTCGTAAATTATGAAATGTTGATGGCGATGTTGGGGGATATTAGAAAGATTATAGCGTATTAAAGATTAAGGTTGACGCTTAGAGAGAGTGAATATATTTAAAAACGTATTATCGACAGTTTTAAAAAGTTATCAATAGTTTATATACACATTTTCTCATAGCGTTTTGAACTTTGTGTGACCTGATACAAGGAAAAATGTGCTAAATGGAAATAGATAAATGACTTTTTCCAAATTATACTTAAAAGTTCCATAAAATCTTTATTTGAAATTTTCATAAAATGTGTACTATGCATATTAAAGTTGCAAAGTTATAATTTGTGAATTGAACCGCACTCTCAAACCAATATAAATATAGGTCTGTTGAGTTTAAAAAAAACACCAGGTAAGTGAATCTTCTGAAAAAATCCACTAGGTAGAAACGCATAACAGATTTTCGATATTAATTATTGAAAAAAATATGTCAATAAATAGCTACAAGGTCAATGTTCAGATTTTGTAAAAGAAGTTCAGATTTTGTCTAAGAAGTTCAGATTTTGTCTAAAAAATTCAGATTTCGTTCGGATTTTGTCTAAGAAGTTCGGATTTTGTCAAAGAAGTTCGGATTTTGTCAAAGAAGTTCGATTTTGCCAAAAATTCATCGATGTCATTTTTCAAAAGTAAATATTAACGTATTTGTGTATCTTATTGTATATTGGTATCCGTTGGAGCCGTCCAGTATTGACCTATACATTTATTTATAATAGAGCAATAAATATTAGCCTCCAAGAAAAACCTACACTATCTCGCTAGTATTGGGTATTTTTCTCTTCGCTCTACTCTTTTAAAATTCCACACACGCAAGGCAAAGTATCTATAACGAATAGAGGTGCGAACTGAAACTCAAAGGAAACTGTAACAACATCACTTTATGATCAATTATTGTGACAGATTAAAATGAAATATTTACAATATAAAAAATAGACAAACTACCAAAAAATAAAAATTTTTGGTGTGCATTTTTAGGGTTAGGGTTAGGGGTTAGTGGTTAGTTTTAGGTAGTTAAATAGAAACTTTTATTTCATTTTAATTATGATCTGCGACAATTATTGGTTTAATTTCCTTTTGTAATTTCAGTTCGTACCACCTCTAATAACGAACCTTGCGTGGCATAGTAACATGAAGTATTTTTATATGTGCATCAGAATGTCTGCCGAGTCTACGGACAGATATTAGGGGCAGTAGGGACGGTGACATTTCATATGATATTATACGTATCCTAAATTCAAACAATTCATATGAATTTGCACTACCCTAAGAGCTGTCCATAGATTCTCTGTTCAGTTATGGATGTTGGGTTAAATTAAAGTTTGGAACCGGTTATTTCATATGTTAGAACTGATTTTAATCGGTTTTAACATATGAAAAATAAAATCGGTTGTTAAAAGTCGATCACCAAAAATTGTTAGTTTATTTACCATATAATTGGTCCAATGGGTATGATTCTAGGTTGTTAGTTTGCTCGGCAGATATTTTTTCCATTTGAGAGGATTCTGACTGTAAGGTCATCAAAAGATTCTTAAGATATTCTGTTTTATAAATAGAAATAATAAATATAAATATATGGAATTTAACTTAAAAAAGCACAACGGAATATTATAAATATATCTTATCATAAGCATAATCTTACCATTTAATGTTGGTGATGTTAAAGATTGTGGATATCGGTGTTCTGTATTAATTAGTATTTAAAGTTATAGCCACTTATAGCATTTCATAAACAAAGCTTTCGAACTAGAACATGGTTTACCTAATTGAACTAAATCAGCTAAATGATGAACAATTTTGGAACCTATAAATAAATTATTAAAATATTTAAGGTGAGTAGACATACTTGAATGTATTATATTTTATTCACCATACCATGCTTTAAACATTCTTTGACTAGCCCCGCGTTATTCAAAGGTTCTATATATAGTATCAATAATAGTAATCACGATATTTAATTTAATTAATATTTTATAATCGAAAAAAAATATTACCACAACCGTTTGCAATTGTTGTCGATAACGATAGTTAAATGATTCTACAGCCCATGAAACTAGTATTGATTATTAATATTTTTACCTACCTTGAGGCATATTTATTTGTGAAGTGCTATGGGGACTGTTGGCCAGATTTCCAAGATCATAATATCCAGTCGATCCATCAGAATCAATAAAACTGTCTTGCGGATATAGAACATTACAAAATTCGTTAGGAATGTTTTGTGAATATGAGATATCATCATTTGCATTTTCAAACCCTGGGTGATTTTCACAGTGACCTATAAGTTAAAGGATAGCAAAACTAATATAAGTTTCACATCGACATAGAATTTTTGTAGATAGGCATGCTATTGAGTTATTCATATTAAAAAGGCCCATTTTGCAATATAAACAATTTTCGGACTGATCCGGGATTAAGCAAATTTCACGATTTTGATTGGTTAAGAGTAACAGGCGACTATCGGGTAATCTCGTGATATGCTTGGCCTTAGACAGCTTCGTGTAATTTTTCTTTATATTATCTCTATTTTTTATTATGCAAATCGCCTTTTATTTATAATTGAAAAATGTTAGTTATGTCAAAATTTACATGAATCTAATAAAAACTCATTTTTCGAAAAATTTGCAAGTGGGCCTTTTAATGTGAATAACCCCATATGCTTCAGTCTTTTATTTCGTTAATGGGCTACTGTCAACACTTTGCCAGCCAAAAGATCATTTAGCAAGAAAAATTAGTAGACATTTAACCTATCCTTTTTGGCAGCATCATGGCGATTCATTATAACAATGCCCTCGGATCATCGTTCATAGCTTCTTTTAGATGTAAACATTTGAAAGGCCAGAAGATATATATAATTTGTATATTGACTTCCATACGCCACTCACTTGTGTGTAACCTTAACAACAACAGCAACAGAACATTTCTCAGAAGTAAATCTTGTCTTATAGAAATTTATGAGTATTACCCACCTCCTAAAGATCCAATTTCTTCTACGTAAGAGCAATCCTTTCCTTTATCGCGGCAACGATTGCATGAGCGTACACCGTTTTCACCGCCAGAACACCTTTTTTTATAATTACGACAGGAATTACAAGATCGAGGATTTCTTTTTCTTTTCATTATTCTACTTTCTACCGACAAGTTTTGGACTGGAGGACAAAAGTGATGTATTCGTAGGTTTTTCTTTCCTTTCATTATTCAACTTTCCACTGACAAGTTTTGGATTGAAGGACAAAATTGACGGTTCTCTGAAAAAATAACACAAAGCCTATGAGGTTATAATATAGCAGGAATGTTTTATAGGAAAAGAAGTATTTTACTTTATAATACATACAAACAAAACTCCTTAAACGAGTCTCTATAGCGGACCTGAACCCTTAAGTTTTTAAAATAAAACGTTAGCAACAGGTGTTACATGAAACTCAGAGATTACCAACTAGTAGCTTTATTATAGAAAATTTTGGAGATATTTCGAACTTTTAGCATAACGTAAAAAATTATAAATTATCGAAAGGAAACTAATAAATGGCTTGTTTCGAAAGTTTTTTCTAAAATTTATTTCTCTTCAAAACAATAATCTATTGCTTGCCTTCTTTTTTTCGCAGAACCAAAATTTCACAAAAGATTCAAATAGCATATATATAGACAAATGCATTGCTGTAGATTGTATAGTTTATGTTACAAGGGCAAAAAGGCTTTACATATAATTTATGAGCCAATTAAATATATGTGTAAGTGAATGCTAACTTTATCTGTTGCATTCGTCAGAATATTAAATATAAATTATATAATAACTATATATATAAATATCAAGTTGAAAGATCACTCCAACGAATATATACACATTCTATATATTGCTATTTTAATTGTATAATAACAATAATATATAATGGTATAAACATCCAAAGCTTTTGGCGCTAATCTTACATGCGTGTATTAGTTATGCATGATTTCATACTATTGAATGATATTTGGGGTCTTTGCTTTGAAAATCACGTTATGGGACATAATAAACCATATGTCCCATAACGTGATTTTCAAGGCAAAGACCCCATTTGTTAATGGCAAATATGAAGAAAAGTCACTTGCGCGCACATAATGGGAAGATTAAATAAGTGGGAATCTGCAAAACTCTGTATTTTTTGCAAAATTTTTTGGAATTTGAAATTTTTGTACGAAATTGCCACTCTTTTCGCTTCAGTTGGATTAACGATCTGCATGATTTTTGATTTCTGCGAATCCCTTTATATTCGTCATATTTTGTGAAACTTATTTATCAATAAAAGAGAATTTTAAAATAAGTTCCACGAAATATGATGAAGTTGAAGTGATTACCGTATTGTGATCACAGGACTCATGGGAATCAAAAAAAAAAAAACTTAAGCAGACCATCGATCCAACTAAATCGTTAATTTCTCTTTCTGCAATTATTATTGTCAAATAACGTAGTGCAAATAGTGGGAAATGTAAGAAAGTGATCAAATTCATTGGCCCGCCAACATTCTATTTTCGGTTAATAATAATTAAATTTAATTTCATATTAAAATATTATCTCTCTTCTGAAATAGTATCATTTATTGCTACTAGGTTTGAGGGTTGTACAGATTTTCATTTGATTTGCTATTTAATTTTTTCAGAACCGCACTAAAAAAAAAAAAAATTTCCGATGAATAATATTGCCGTAAAAAAAGAGAAGTTTTTTTACTTGAATCATGGCGTAAACAATTTGAGTGGTTTTATGTGAAATGTTGCACATATCGCGACCGTTTGTAAAATACGCAAAATTTTAAAATTTCAGTTATTCATTAAAATTTAATACAGAATTTATTTAGAATTCACCTAAGGTGAAAATCATCTTATGTTTTAATTATGGTTATAAACCCTAGAAAATTTTCCTCAAGCTTTCTTAAAGTCAAGGTGATTTTTAGGGTTAGGATTAATGTATAGATTAAAGTTAGTAATTGGTTTTTTTTAGGGTGCTGAGCATTTTTAATTAGTACACAAAACACGATTTACGAAATTTACATATCTTTCCGATAAATTATATTAATCTATATTAATCTATGATTACAAAAGAATTTTGAGAATGCTCCATCATTGGGGATCTCTGCTTCCGAACTACTTCAGTTCGTTTTTTTTTTTGCTTCCATATTGCGGTACAAGTTTCCTTTGTGGTATAAGTTTTTCCATGGAACTCCTGAAAACTACGTATTTATAATTACTATTTAATTGGACCATTATTGAGAAATAGCATACCCGGCAAATTTCATATCCAGTGAAAAAGATAAGATTGACATACCAAGAGTTTCTTATTAGCGTGTTATGTGTCGCAAAGGTCACGTTATATGCTCACATGATAGATCGAACGTGGTTACCAATCGGCGAATTATCTCTCGAATTGACAATTGTCAAAAATGTCAAGCACAATAAATGCAGAAATTGGCAGCATAGAATACAGAAGTCCTAAAGCAATCTGACATATACCGTAAAGTATCGAATGAATTATTTGGTTATTTAAGATAAACCCGGTGTATATTTTTCATCTATTTCGTTAGCTTCATTGTTTACATAAACCGTATATTCTTCCAAGCGTAAAGAATCTCTACCCTAGGTATAATATTATTATATCCGAATATACAACCAATTTTTGTGATATAACGCTAATTAAATGAATTCAAATTTTAAATTTAGAAACTAAATATGTTAAGGGGTTTCTGAGGTCTGTGTGCATATTTCAATTTGTAGATTTGTTTAAGGAGAAAGAGGTTCATTCGCCTTCTAGGGACGACTGTTATGGTTCGGTTATTGTTATAGAAAGTTGGCGGGAGTAATTAAATGTATAGTGACAAAGAGTAAATGATAGACCATTTAAGAAAAACTACCGGTAACGCAAAATTTTGCTTATGAAATTACCTTTTATGCTCTAATTAAAAAAATAACTTGTTAAATTTACTATTGGCGCATAATAAAGCGCATCTGCACGTTATCTCGCATTATTTGGGGACGCGCATGCAAGGTAATTCGGATAATTTCGACAAATTTGGGTTACAAGAGGAAGTCACTTTTAATAATGAACTTGGCCCGAAAAATTCGTAATATGGTCCATTTAAGGGGTGCGTTATTTTGGGACGCGCATGGGCGTTATTTTAAGTCAAAAAACCAATTTTCAAAAAAATGAATGCTTCGAAATAACGCCTATGTTGGGGTGGTCGGTCAATTAATTAAATCAACCTTATAATTTTTTTAACACGAATATATTGTTACACGAATGAATATCACTTTTCAATAAGAATTTATTGTACGAAAGTGATAGATTTTTGAAATCTAACTCTCTCGCAGTATTAATTCTTTAAATTTAAGAACAATATGAAACAGACTAATAAAGTATGCTTTTTAATTTGTCGTGGTGATTTTTCTTTTTGCATTTAAAATTTTACGGTAATTTTTATAAAATTTCAAAATTTTAAATGTAAAAAGAAAAATCCTTGCAACAAATTGAAAAGCACGTTTTTTAATCCGGTTCATATTATTCTTAAATTTGAGGAACTAATACTGCGAGAGGAGTTAGATTTCAAAAATCTATCACTTTCGTATAATAAATTCTGCGTATTGAAAGTGATATTCATTTGTGTAACAATACATCCGTATTAAATAATTGCCTAATTGTTTTTTATTATGGGACTATGATTTAATTAGTTGAAGACCATCCCAACGCCCATGTGCGTTATTAAGCGCCAATACGGTATAATTTGCTCTAACCCTAACCTTAATGTCTGTCTAATTTCAC